CTAGGCTTTATATAAATGTGCTTTTTAAAAGCTTGAAATAAAGATAAACGAATAAATATTTAATCGTGAATTTAATAATTAAAATAGATTATAAATAATTTGATTATAAATTTGAGAATTTATAAATTTTAAATTTTGATTCTACTTCTGATTACTGTGAATCTCTCAATTGAAGCTCGGTTGTTGATATCCCACTCACCGAACTTAGGAGTGACTAGTGTATTGCTCGAATATGTTATTATCGCTACAAAATCTCTCAAGTGGTCTAAAATGACACTCATTTTAGCAGTAATTGTAATAGTAACTATGAAGATATTTGATTAAGCTTATAAGCTGATTAGACTAACCAATAAACACTTCTTAATTCAATATGTCTATCCTTTTGGTAAACATTTGTGCATGTATAAAAAATACCCTTTTATTTATTCTTACATTTAAAAACCTAATTAGTGATGGTAAAACTACTCGCAATTGCAAATTGACTTGCTATTGATGGAATGAAATTGATTTTTCAGATGGTCACTTAATTGTATAGTAATTATTACTCCCTCTGTCTCAATTTGTGTGACTTACTTTCCTTTTTAGTCAGTCCCATGAAGAATGATACATTTCTATATTAAATAACAATTTAACTATAAAATGTCTATTTTACCCTTAATGAAATGATTTACAGCAACACAAATTTCTATCATTCATTTTGGACCACAAGTTTTAAAAGTCTTCCCTTCTTTCTTAAACTCCATGCCGAGTCAAACTACCTCACATAAAATGAGACGGAGAGAGTATTTCAGAAAATCATTTTCCTTATTAGAAAAAGTTAGAATAAAAGAAATTGTGAGATAATACATATTAATCGAATTGTTATCTCAGAAATCAACTTATTACCATTATTTGTTGATCTTCTCACTAATTACCATATTTGCAAACTACAATTTGATTGTCCTCTATATCATTCACGGATTCATGATTATAATATTCCTCAATCCTAATAATTGAACTAATAATTCAACCTACCAACAAGATATTATAATATGTTAAAAAGGAAAAAAGGTACTTCATTCAACATTTTTTGGATTTTTTCGTGCGAAAGATAATATCAAATAGTTTTGGGATTAAATTATAGTGTCACTTAATTTATTGTTTGGTTGATAAGTCCAGAATAGCTTATCTCAAAATTAATAATTAGTACTGTGATAAGTTATTCCTCCCCTTAGGTGGTATAGTAATTCCAAAATAACTTATCTCGAGATAAAATATGTAAATGACAAAAGCATCCCTTTAAACCCTTTTTATACATATTTTCACATTCACGTATATTTGTATTATTTTTAATACCATGTAAAATAACATTCACAATCTTCACTACTCTTTATTTTTATGATAATTTTTCTATTAAAAAGTACAGTATATAAATATAATTTTTATTTATGAATTTATTTGACTAATTCTTTTGTTTATTTATATTTTGATTTCTCATCAATTCTCTTTTACTTTAACAAACTTAAGATGGAAGTTCTATTTTTAAGCTACATAAGAAGAAAATTTTATACATACAATACTATCATAGAAATGCACACACAAAAAAATTCAATCTAAATAAGATGAAAGTTCTATTTTTAGGAATGAATAACTAAAACTTACAAAGAAAATATAAAAATTAAATAAAATGAAGGGTATTTTTGTAATCAAATGACTTGTTCTTAAAATTTATGCAATGCATATTATTATTTTAAATACAACAAATCAAACACTAAATAAGAAAGAATTTTATCATAACTGATCCCAACATAACTATCTCATCATAACTAATTTTATCATAACTAATTTCATCATAACTTATATTCAAGCCAAACGATCGTTAAAGAATCTTACTCTAGTTTAGAGTCAATTGAAAACAGCCTCTTCACAATATAAAGTTGTGTACACATTATCTTATTTGAGACTTCATTTTTAAAATTATATTGTTACTGTTATAACGGAAAGAATCTGAGAACTCAAAAGCAGATTGAAGAAAAAGACACTTTTTATGTGTCGATGTAAAATGGTCACTCAACTCTTTTTAGAGATAATTGATAACAAAGAATTTCTTGGAAATATTATATTAGACATACAAGGACATTCTAAAATTATTTGAGTGGTCTAGAGAGGGCTTATGTCCTACTTGTTGGATACATGTTTTTTTCTTGTGAACCTTACAATATGCTTAATTGTTATAACACAAAAGAACTTGGTGGTGAATCATAAAAAAAAAAAAAAGAGTTTGAAGATCTACTATTCGTTGAAATTTATTGATTCGATTAATTTAAATCTGCATCACATAAAATTCATTAGAGAGAAAATACTCCTTATCAAAAATTTGAGATGTCTAATTAATGATATTGAATTTCGGTACTCAATAATCACTCTTGAAGTGACCCATAACAAAGCACAAAATTTAACTATGAATATGCAAAAAATAGTATATAAGTTAGTTTTCTTTTTAATCTATCAATACAATATAGTAATGGAGGGAATATATAGGAATATATAGCTCATATATACCAAAAGTAGAAGAAGAAATAGCTCAAAGTTATTAATTTGTCATAACACATAAATGTACTTTTTAATTTGATTTGAGATGATATTTTTATCTTTTAATCTTCGGTGTGTATAAGTAGACACTTAAACTTGTATAAAGTTGAACAGGTAGACACATGCGCCCTACGTGAGCATTTCGTGTGAGATACACTCAAATTGATTTGTATATCTATGTAGAATATAATGTGTATGTCTACTTATTCATCCTTATAGAAGTTTGATTTAATCGTTTATGATCTATATTTAAGTAGATCCAAAATTAGAAGACATAAATATCAGTTAAGATCAAATTCAAACGACACGTTTATAAATTATGTATTCTAATTTATAGAGCTATAATATCATGTCATGTCATCTCTTCTTCACCCCCTCACACACACCAAAAAGGAAAAAACCTTGCAGAATAAAATGACCCACACAAAAGAATTATTGGATTGATAAATTCAGCAGTATTTTTTTTAAAAGTAAATGTTACATTTCTTGCATTGTTATTATATGATTATTACTTGAGTTACATCTTTCAACTTAATCCCTTATACAAACCAATAACTACATATATCTAGGGATGACAATGGAGCAGAGCGGATGCGAGGCGGGGTGAGTTTAAGGCTATGCGAAACGGGGCAGGTTTAAGGTTATGTGGGGCGGGTTGAAGTGAATTTTTTAAAAATTAATGCGAGGCGGGGCGGGTTGCGGGTATATGTGATTTTATGTGGGTTCAAACTTAATTTTAACTTTTTACATGTTATAAGAGTGATAGAGCATTATTTATTGAGATAATTTCATTAAAGCTACTAAAATATTCAAGATAATAAATAAAAATGGTTCAATAAAAAATAACACAATTTCTGACATGTTTCCCAATTGACCTCTAAAAACTAAAATTTTAAGTCACCATCCTATTAAATTAATACAATTTAATGAAAAATAAATTTATTTTTATGAATTTTATTTTTAGTATCAAACTTAACTAGAAAAAGAAAATATTAAAAAAATTATGCGGGGCTGGGTGGAAATGAAAAAAATTGTTATGCGGAGCGAGGCGAGGCGGATTAAAAATTTTGCGGGTTAAACTTAGCCCGCACCACACAATTACCATCCCTATACATATCAGTGCAATTTATGTGCGTGGTTTGGAAAAGGTTAGTGTATACATTGACATTAGCACCTACCAATTAATAAATAAGGCAGAGTCAGAATTAAGAGTTTGGAGTTCTAAATTTTAGAACAGAAGAAAAAAATATCGCAAAACATGCTTCTCCTTTTCGGGGTTCAAACCCACAACACTAGTCTGAAAAGCCTTTTCAATGTACGTCCCTTCCTTACCATTGAGTTGTCAATCAATATTATTAGGGGGTTCACAAGTTACTATACATATATGTTTATTTAATTTTCGAATACAAATATTGAATCTACGGAAAATTTAGTGAGTTTGTTCGAACCCATGAACCTTCACCTAACTCCGCCCCTAACTACCATGGAAGATAGAGACATTGTTTCCATTCATAAACCCCCAACTCAAGAAAAAACATAACGAAAGTAATAAATGGCAATAGACCTTTATATAGTTTAAGTCCAATTCTCTGAACTCCACATATAACAAAAGTTTAATGTACTAGACTCTCGTTTAAGCAATAAAGGGCAAAAGAGAGGGTTTAACAAGAGCTCGAGCCCCCTTTGGAAACATAAAAGCAAGTTGATAGGTTATAGTAAATACAATTAGGAACCAAGAACTGGCTAGCAACAGAAATTTCTGAGAAGAAGAGGAGGTAACACAATTACCCAAAAAAAACAAAGTGCCACTAGCAAATATTACAACAACGATAAATTTAATGTAATTTTATATATGTGAAAATATTAAATAAATAATTCTGGAGAAATTAAGCTTTCTATATTTGTGGTTGTATATATTTGTTTTTGATTGTTACTTAAATTTCATTATCATATCATTAAATATATCATTATCAACAACAACATACTCAGTGGAATTCCACAAATGGTGTCTAAAGAGGGTCATGCGTACACAGACCTTACCACTACATCGTTAGGTAATAAAGAAAACTTTCATTTTGTGTAACGATAGATTTTGTGTGGTCCCGTTGCTATCTTAATTTTTCTTTACTTATTATTTAATAATCCTATCGTATCTTTTACCCTACTTTTTTCGTACTATATTTTTCTTGTTGGTTTATCCTTCAAATTGTTGATGTGTGATATTTGGTATCGACAAAATAATAATAATATATTTTATTCAAATATTATATATATATATTAAAATAACATAGTACTGTATAATACAATACATTATGAAAATATATCAATCATCCGATCCAAATAGAATGTTAGTTATCACAAATAATTGATATACTTGAAGTACTTATTATATAATTTAATTCATTTAGTTTCACCATTAATACCAGAATGACTCTGGCCCAATGGATAAGGCGCTGGTCTACGAAACCAGAGATTCTGGGTTCGATCCCCAGCAGAGTCGTATTTAATGTGTTTTAAGTTAGGTTTTCTTATGATATTTTCTGTACTTCGAATTATTATTTTTGAGAGTAACAATTCATGTTTGTTAATTGATTTGAAAATACTTCAACCAATGTTATATCAATCGGTGTTTTAAAAGATGTTGTTGGGTTCGGAGCGGGGTTCTAACAAAACGTCTTGAAACTCAAGTGTGAGGCTTACTTTTGTAAAACTTACGTCCTAAGCACCCAATTGTACGCCCTAAGCATGCCCAACGTTTGGGGCTCGCCTAACCGATCTTACACAAATTATGTGTTAAATTCTTTAATTAACATTATTGACCCTCATAATTCTTGAATAAATTAATGATACTTAATAATTTTTTAATCTATATAAATAAGAAGATTGAGAGTAACTCAAATAACAAGTTGTAGTATCGCATATTTACTATTTAGTAACACTGTGAGGGTGATCATATATTACGTAACATTTCTTTTAAAAATACATAGCAAAAAAATTTACAATTTCACTTATCATTGGTCTTCATGTTTTTGTAATATGCCTCAAAATTATCATATTTTATTTACTATTTGAAAGTAATTTTATTTTTATACATGATGAAGTGATGTCTTTATTATAATACTAGTAAGTATTATTTACTTATTGATTATTTTAGGGGAGGTACATTGTATAGTATGATAATAATATATTTTTAGAAAAGCTATTGTTCCAAATGTTTTACGATAAGCAAGAGGACATCAAAATGAAAGAAAATGTGATAATTGAGAAAGACCCCCCTCACCTTCTTGAAATTTTTCATAAAGTACTTGTCAATGGTAGTGACGATGAAGCTAATGCCACACAATCGTGTAATTATGATTTCATCTTTGATTATTTTCACGATTGTTGGAGAAAAAATCATGTACGACACAAATCAAGATTGCTCACAAACGTGTTTCGTTTCGTCATGAATTTGAAATCAAAGGGGATTCATTTTAGGCCTAGTGAAATTGACTCATTATGAGGTGTGAGATTTACATCTCACTATTACTATGCAAAACTAAAACTACCATGTTGGTATCAGGGGCGGCTTAACATAATTAGGGGCCTAAAGCGAAATTTTAATTTGTAACGTAATTAGGGGCCTAAAGCGAAATTTTAATTTGAGGCCTAAAATATAAACAAACTTCATATACGTATTTATTCAAAATTTATTTTTCTTACACTATTTAAATGAAAATTATTAGTATTTAATATTATTTTTTCAGTTATTAGTTTTAAGTAAGATTTTATCAACTCAACATTGAAAAATATCCTCTCAGCGAGGCAATTATTATATGAATTATTAACATAATTCTATAAGTAATAAGTTAGACAAATATTAAATAAAGATAAGAATTAGAATCATAGAATTTGACTCAAGAAGTTGATGACTTGGTATACCTCATTTTAATATGCTTGTAGAAATGCTTGAAACTAAAATTTAAAACGAAATAAAAAAGAATTTGTAATTCACTTTGTTCAACACTTTTCACTATTAATTCTTATTTTTAACAAAGTACAAAAATATTAAAGTGGATAAAATAATATATATTTTTTAAAAATATACTTTTTATCATAAATAATCAATTTTTTCTTTAAAATTTTTAACACATAATTTATTTTTGACAAAAATTTGAGGCCCTCAAAATTTTGGGGCCTAAGGCAAAAGCCTTATTTTCCCAAGTATAGAGCCGGCCCTGGTTGGTATGTTTCAACATACACTACATGATAGCTTATGAAAAAATATACTAATTGTTCATGATAGCTGGGACAGCAATGTGAAGGATAGTGTCTTGCAGAGGTGAAAGGTGCTTCTCTCCTGGACGGATGGCGACTTATGTAGTGGTCGGCCTTCCTACCAGAATGCCTTCTTGGTCGAAGAGCCCCTTTTTTACTAGTAAGGACGCTGGTATGTTTCAACATACACTACATGATAGCTTATGAAAAAATATACTAATTGTTCATGATAGCTGGGACAGCAATGTGAAGGATAGTGTCTTGCAGAGGTGAAAGGTGGACAAAATTGGGTGCATGAGAAAGATCAACTTTGGTGGAACTCATTTCAAGCATGGGGCATCCTAGTATATTGAGAAGTATGCGCCAATGGCCTCTTTTGTCTTTCACATTCCACCTTGCAGCTCTTTGAGCACTCATGATATTCATCTATTTGTTCGAATTTTCGGAGGATCCAACACGCACATGGTGATATTTTTTATGAGTCGGAGAAAAATAGCATGAGAATTCTGTCATTTATGATCGATCCGGACCGGCCTTAGACACTTTCCATGACTGGTAAGGTGTTATGAATTAGTCATACCTTACAAAGTTCTTCTCCCTCACTATATATAAAGGCAGTGAAGAAGGTTACGTTGTTTGCTTGAAGATATCAATCATGCTGGAATTTCGTTCAGAGTTTGATGCTTGTGAGGCTACAAAATGTCAACCGTTTATGTCCCTCACATTAGATTCTCTTTGATATGCAAATTCCAAAATCTAAAAGATCTACTAAGCTATTTACATCTCCAAGCAAAAAGGTTTAGTAAACATCTAGATTTAAATGTGTATGAGAGTGATTAGAAGTTCCTTTAAAACATCTACAGCATTCAAGCTGATAATATTTGGATGAAACCAACTAATCCTCCATCATTCACACATTGAAAATACAATGTTCCTTTGACAGCTATGTATGTTGCTCACAATCTTTTAAAATATCGATGGTTACATGTGGATCCTCTACGAGTAGGATTTAAAAAAAACGTTTAATAAAGTAAAGAAATAAAATATTTTGGGAGAAGAGGGAAGAGAAACAAAAATAAAAGGCTAAAAGTAATTAACTTTTAAATTTTTTCCGCACATAGAACATTTCGTCGCCGGTGATTTTCCCGTCGTGATTCTAGTTGGAGAAATCAAACTCATCTCTCATCTCACCTGCATCTTCCGCCGCCGGCGACGGCGACGGCGGCAGCTGCTCAAGCGCCGAGCTGATAGTTTCAAAATTCTCTAGACTAATACATCCATCTCCGTTTTTGTCCAATTCATCAAGCAACAATACCAGTTCCTCTTCACTCGGAGGCGATTTACAGCAGCAAACCTCAAATTAGAACTGAAAATGCTCAGAAGAACCACACTGCACTTTACTTCCAAGATTACACTTTTCTCACTTCCAAAACTTCACTTTTCAACCCTTTCTTCTTCATCTTCCCCCTTTTACCAAAACCCCACAAAAATCCTTTCTCAATCAGACATCAAGGACCTCGTTTTCTCCCAGTATCACCATGGCAAGTTTCACAACCTCCTCCAAAACGTTGTCGCTTTACCCTCTTTCCTCCTCACAGCTTGCCACAATCTCAAACCAAATGACAAGAATACCCTCACTCTTGATTCTGTCTCAACTCATTTTTTCTCACTTCAAGAACTCTCCTTTCACCTCTCTACAAACCAATTTGATGTCAAAGTTTGCGGCTTTACTATCCCTCCATCTTCAGTTAAAGGTAAACCACTTGTGCTTCCTAATTTGAAGCTTAAAGTAGTTATTGAAGCTATAAGAATGATTCTTGAATCTATATATGATGATAGATTTGTGACATTTTGTTATGGTGGACGTGTTAATATGGGAAGACATACCGCTATTCGTTACCTTAAGAACTCTGTTGAGAACCCCAGTTGGTGGTTTACTGTTTGTTTGAATACTGCAAAGTTTGAAAATAAGCATGTTGATAGACTGTGTAGGGTTATGGAAGAGAAAATTAGTGATGAGGCATTGATTGGTTTGATAAAAGTGTTATTTGAGTCTGAAATAATGAGTATTCAATTGGGTGGTTGTTGTTTAGGTAGAGGGTTTCCTCAAGAATGTGGGTTGAGTTCAATTTTGATTAACATTTACTTTAATAGTTTCGATAAGGAGATTCAAGAACTAAGGCTTAAAACGAGTCGGGAGAATCCGAGAGTTGATGCTAATGACCTTGCTGAGGGATATCAGAGGAATGCTTTCTATAAGCCGTTGAAGATATATGCAGTTAGGTATTTGGATGAGATATTGGTTATCACGTCGGGGACAAAGATGATGACTTTGGATTTGAAGAGTAGACTTGTGCAGATTCTTGAGAAAGATATGGAATTCGGTATTGATAAGGTTAAAACTGTTATTCATAGCGCTACTTCTGAGAAGATAGAATTTTTGGGGATGGAGCTTCAGGCAGTAAAGCCGTCTATCTTGCACCCACCAATGTCACAAAAGGCGATTAGGGCGAGGAAGAAGTACCTCCGGCAGAAAGAAGTTAGAGCTTTGGAGTTGAGAAATGCTAAAGAGAGTAATAGGAAGAAATTGGGAATGAAGATATTCAGTCATGTATTTAAGAAAATGAAGCGGGCCAATGGTTTCAAAACTGATTTCCAGATTGAGAGCGAAGTCAACCAAATCTTTGATTCTTGGGCTGAAGAGGTAATGCAAGACTTTTTGGAATCTGTCGATGATCGTTGGGAATGGCACCGGATGCTCTCAGCTGGTGACTTCCTTTCTTTGAAAAGGATCAGAGATCAACTGCCCCTTGAACTCGTAGATGCTTATGACAACTTTCAAGAGCAAGTTGACAGGTACTTAAATCCCATCAAAGCAAAAAGGATGTTAGAGGAACAAGTAAAGATAGCAGAGGAAGAAGAGGAGCGGAAATACTCTGATCAAACGGTGGCAGATCTGACAAAATTATGCATAAAAGTTGAGGCGCCCTTAGAAATTGTTAAGAAGGCAGTCAAACTGATTGGATTTACAAATCATATGGGCCGTCCTAGGCCAATTAGTTTACTTATGGTTCTTGAAGATGCTGATATCATCAAGTGGTATGCTGGTATTGGGAGAAGGTGGCTTGATTTCTTTTGCTGCTGCCACAACTTCAGAAAGTTGAAGATTATAGTATCTTATCATTTAAGATTCTCGTGCATCTTGACTTTAGCAGAGAAGCATGAGTCCTCAAAGAAAGAAGC